GTTATTGTGTAATGAATGTAAATCTTAAACTTTTTATTTCGCTTCCGTACTTAAGTTATTATCTATTTCCTTTAGATTTCCGGAGTCGTTACATGGACTTTACAAAAATTTGTAACATCATAATGTAGATTATGTTACATGTTGTAGAATGGATAAATAGCTTGTACTGTATGTTAGTTTAAATTTATATTCTATTTTTTGGTTCAGTTGTGTTTAGTTTCTTGATGAGGAACTGCGGACTGTCACACTATCTAGCTATTATATTTTTTAAAAAACTTAATATATAGATAATGTCAAAACTTTAACAGTTAATATATATATAGTTATTTTATTCCAATAATAATATATTTTCAAGATTATTTATAATATATAATTATAAAACACTATTCTTTTCATACTGAAAAATAATAAATTGACTACCATTAAAATCTTATAAAATTTCGGTCAATTTAGTGACTAGTATAGTCAAAATACACAGAAATAAATCTAATTGTTTAATATTAAAATATAACTTATTCATATAAGTTCACAATGAAAAAATTAATAAAAAACTCACACGTTATTATTAAGTACACTCCTCTTACTCGATACACAATACAACTTTATGCAAAAATAAATTCCATTATAATTATACATACAAATATTAAAGTAAACACATTTGTAATTAGCGAGAAATCCTTATTGCTTTTTGTATTTAGCTTAGGCACATTTGAAATTAAAAAATATATATATATTATTAAGTAATTTATAGAAATATATAATTTGAATGAATTTACTTAAAATATAATATAAGTAATGATGTCTTATAAGGTGAAAGAGAAAGAAAGCTGGGTACAGAAAAAGTAAAATATCGCATCAGATTTAATTATGTTAATAAAGCATCCCAAATTATCAATTAAGAATAGTAAAATTGGTAAAAAAAAACTAAAGAAAATTTTTAAATTCATTGTATTTACAGAGGGAAAACCAATAGCAAATTTTAATTATTTTTTTAAGTTGGTCTCATAAATTATGTGTATATGTATTTTTAATTATATATATTTATTAAAAAATAATATAAAGAGTGAATTGAAATATAAAAACTTATTTGGTTACAAACACAACGAAACCGCGCCCAAAAAAAGGAGAAAAGAAAGAGAAATAATTATAATCTCTCTTTCGTTTTCCAGCTCTTCTCCACCCACGTCTCCCTCAACAGCAAAATTAAAAGGTCTTCTCGGCGAAATCATTGAATCAGAAGCTAATATCCTGATTCTTTCTATCAAATTACAGTCGCCATGAACGTATTGAAAGATAAAGTTACCGAGAAACTCTCTAATCTATTTGCTGATTCGCCTCGCAAAGCTTCGTCTCCTCGACCTTCTCCCTCTAATACTCCCGAGGTAAATTCCTCTTTCTTTTTCGGGATATTCCTTTTTGATTTGCGACGTTTTTCCTCTTCTATTTATCCTTTTCTTTATGATTATGACCAAAAAAGAGCTTTACGTTGCTGTTTTCCTTTCAAAACTTTGGATCTGATAAACTGTTCACAATGCAGTTCTGCGGATAAATTGCTTACGGTCATTTTGAAATTTGATTTCTCTGCGAGACCATATAATGCTGGTTGTTGACTCGTGTGAAGCTATCAACATCAATTTATAATTTCGTTCGCGAAGTAGCTTCATTTTCTGGCAATTTCATAATGAATTTTCGTGATGTTCTTTTCTCTGTTATTGATGTGATGCACAATTCGCTGATTCTTATATACATACGTATATTGTAATATATACATTGCTTTTTGGTTAATAAGAATGTGCATGTAAATGAGAGAAAATCTTGTATATCTCAGTATTTTTTTATTCTTCTCTCTTGGTTCAGTTACCGAAAGCTGTTCTTTCGGTAGAAGAACTTAGTTTGTTACTTGTTTCTGATAACAGCTTATTAAGGATTGGCTTTCCGTAGTATCTATTGTTTTCTAAAAGACTGAAACGGCCTACTAATGGTTTTTGACTACTTTTTTTTTGGAAAGCTCACAATTTAGTTCTCTCTTTTTTTTTTTTATGAAAACTCTTTTAAGAATTATGACCTTTCAGATTATTTTCAGTCAGAAAAAAACATTAACTGTTCATGTTTTTGTTATCTAAATCATGTTGTCAATCACATAAAATCTATGAACAAACTCAATAATTTATTTTCAATGGCTTTATGTTTTTTGTTTATATCACATTTTTGAGTTGAATGCTTTTTATCTTTCCTCGGCTTTCCATTAAATAGGAATAATTCTCATTTACATCCCTGTAAATCTGCTATTCCTAACTAAAATAATGCTCTAAGAAGTGAAAATAATTTACACCATAATTATAGAAATATATAATTATTACGTTCCTAAAATATATATGGAAAGTATTAACTCTAATGAGCTGTCCACCTTGCTAACAGTTTAACCAAAACCATTTTCTTACCTTACATTTTAGTAAATAAGTTTTTAGTAATGATGCATGACATAAGATTTTTACGTGTGTAGGCCAGGCCAGATTCTAATGCTGGGAACTATTTTTCATCATTTTTCTCCAACATTATTCCCACAATAAGCTTTGATGGATCTAAACCAGAGAACCAACATTACGAGCTCAGAGCATATCAATCTCTTCCTGTTAGATGGAGCAGCGATGAGAAGCTCATTACATATGAAACTGGTGAACTGGAAAAGAAGTATATTGATGATAAGAAATTTAGTTCAGTGAGCAATGACAAGCAAATGCTTACTATTGAGGAGGACGGAGGTCCTGCTTCTGGAAGGAGCAGCAGTGATTCTGATACATTTGAAGAAGCAACTGAACAGCATAGTCGAGGAAAGCCATTATTTGATCTCTCAGATGACTCTGTTTTTATTTCCCCAGATTTGTCAGAATTCTTGCAGTCTTGCCTTCCTAATATTGTGAAAGGCTGCAAATGGATTTTAATGTATAGGTAAGTTCAGGTTAAATTATCAATAGCATGCTGTTTATGTGGCTCTCTGTTGTTGCATTTGAATCTTTATTCAGTATTGATTCTTTCAAATGAAGGGCAGCACGTTGAAGCATGGTATATCTCTTCGTACGCTTATTCACAAGAGCGCTGAGCTTTTTGGTCCCTGTTTGCTGGTATGTCAACATTATTTTGTAATGAAATTTTTTTTAGTTTGGTTGCTAGTGTGGCATTTAGATCCTAAGTTTGGGGTCTCGTGACCCATAAGTAATTGGTAAGGATGCTAGTTTTGATAAGCAACTGCAGATTGCTGGAGATCTGGAGGGAGCAGTTTTTGGTGCAATGTTAGAGTGTCCCCTGAAACCTACTCCAAAGAGAAAATATCAGGTAAGTCAGCTTGGTTATATATATCACGAGTTCCTTTATGTTCTGCTGCTTAATAGGAAAATTATCCTGTGTTTTTTTACTCCTCCATCCCTTTACCACTTGCAAGTGAACATAATGATGTGCAACCTTACCATTTTCCCATTGCAATTTTAATGATAGGGAACAAACCAAACATTTGTATTCACAACAATACATGGTGAACCTCGGCTATTTAGACCAACTGGTGAGCTTTTTTCATCTGCTCATTTTCTAAATGTTTCTGCTCTTGTAAAATATGCAACTAAATATGTTGACACAACTTAATATTTATATGTGTGTGTTCTATATTAATATAACTTTTGAGCAGATGACTGGATGAGAACATACCGGTAGTCAGTGTCACTTCTGCTGCTTTCAGGTTGTTGTTGGTTAATAACTAGCTTAAAACTATATCCAGCATTTCCCATCTAAGGCCTTGTCTTTTGAACATTCTTCCCTCTCCTACTCTGCTCTTCCCTTCATTAATGCTGTTGAAATTATGATTAGAATTATTGAAGTGGTCTGATTGGTTTGAACTTTTAGTATTCAACTATGAGGCTTAAATATGCTCTTCTATGATCTCAAGCTAGTCATGCTCATCAGTTGCGCAAATATACATATATAGCCAAAAGAATCTGATACACACAAATTTTATTAAAACGTTTCTAGGCTGGATTAAGTTCTTTTCTGCTTTAAATTGGAATTGAGATAGAGAAGTTGAAGTTATTTTAGTTGATCAAGATATTAAAGATTTGGACATAATGGATTTTTTATTTTGGGAAAAAGTAATGTTATTATAGACACCAAGTCGGTGCCAAACATATAACAAAAATGCTTTGCATTTTATCGAGAAAAAAAACAAAGCATCTACAAGATGACCTAAATCCTCTATACAGCTTAGTGGGTGACCAATAAACAAAATTATCAAGGTCAAGAACCAATAGGCTCTAATGCTAGCAAAAGGAGATCTAAGACCTTGAAAAGCTCTCTTGTTCCTTTCTTTTCATAGACCCAAATCATTGCCATCGGAAGAAGTTTCTTCCTCATTTTGCAAGCCGCAATACTGACTCTATACCAAAAATCTTCTGTCATTGGAGCATCATTGTCGAAATATTAGAAGAGCTATGCAACAATTAAGTCACATTGTGGACTCATACATTTTACTAAATAATTATGAATGGTTTGAAGACCCAGTAATATTTTGGGGGAAAATTCTCAGTTCATGCTTTCTGTAGAATTGATTTCTAGACTGTTTATCCCATGTTTTATTATGCATTAGAAGATTATGGTCTTCGGTTATTTACTGTTTCTCTCTGTGTATTCCTATTAGATGATACTACAAATAGTCATCATTTGACTGTAACACTTCAATTAGTAATTTGAAAGCACAACTCAAAATAAAATATCTAGACCTCTGATTTTAAAGACCATCTCTTTTTTCATTACTAACTGAGTTGTGAATATGCTGATGTTGATATTGTTAATAGTAGGGTCAATTAATCAGTTAACCATGAAAATATTTGCTTTTGCATGGATGGGGGAAAAAAAGAATTAAAGCATTCGCCAAACCTGAGCAGCCATGTACAAGTTTTTCATATGCTTCTATGCCCTCATTTTTTCATCTGGCATGTGGAAATAGGTGCCAACCGATATTATTACATGTGTTTGAATGACTTACTAGCACTTGGTGGTGGTGGCAACTTTGCTCTGAGCTTAGATGGAGATCTGTGAGTTGATTGTTAATTTCTTAGTTTCTATACTTGAAGATAGAGAAATTTCTCTATATTTGATCTGTGATTTTATACATTCTCTTCGAAAAGGTTGAGTGGAACTAGCGGACCATGTGATACATTTGGAAGCTCATGCTTGGCTCATAAGTCAGAATTTGAATTAAAGAATGTTGAGGTAATTCTAAGCTTTTAGTCTCTTTTTGTTGTCCTTTTAGGATCTTCTTCTTTTCTAATTTCATAAGCATTGATCACCCAATCTTTTCCTTGATTGTGTCAAACGTTGTCATGTAAAACCAAATGTAGGCTACTATTGCAGGCTGTGTCACCAAATAAATATTCATGCTCATTCATTATGACTCTATTCTTAATAATTTTTTACTGACTGTATTTACTGCTTTGTTTGGCTCATATTAACCATTTTCATGTTGGTGATATCAGTCCATGTCAAGACACTAGTGTGCATTATCATCATACATCCTGGATCCCTAAACTTAAACAAACATAATGGAGCCAAACCTGTACAATGAAAGAACAATAAGCTGAGAATAGAGATGATTTCACATGTTCTTAGTTCCCACCATATGGTATAATTGCCAGTTTGAATTAACTCATTAGGTTGGATTCAAAGAAATGACTTCTGATCTTCAGCTAATAGTTATCCTGTAGTTTGCAACTTCGTAACTAGAATTGTAGTGACAAATGTCCATTTGTATACAGGTATAAAGGAAAAGGAGGAATTTTTGTCTCTGTTACTTAGTGCAGTCTTTTATCTCTTTTTTTTTTTTCTTATGAGCTTGTCTAGTCATTCTTTTATTAAGGAAGAGACAAAGAAATGTAGTGGGTGAATTCTAGTACATGTTGTCCATGCTAATTTTTAGTACTAACTGAGCAACACATTCCTCATTGTTATATATTGGTCTTCTGTGGGTGCACATAGAGTTTAGATGTTTGAAAGCTCGTCTCAAGTTTTGTTTTGTTTTGTTTTGTTTTTTGTTTTTTGTTCTTTTGTTTTGTTCTCATTCTGTTCTTGAATTTTGGCTGACCACGGCTAGTGCTGGGAAATTTAGCCTAGTATTCAGGAAATGTGCGTAAATTTCTGATATTCGATTACCTTCTCCTTTGCAATATCTTGACCAGTTTCCATTATTTATGCCTAACTTATGCAAGTTGTATTGTATTGATTCATTTTCACAGCTTTGGGGATTCGCGCATGCATCACGGTACTTATCCTGACCCAGGGTTGAGATTCTTGGCTCCATTGGTTTTACTAAGATATTTTTTAGTCCCAATTATTTATTTTTTCATATTTTGTTCCCCTTGTCGCCTTCCCTCTCAAGTCTTGATCAAAGAGGGCTGTAAAATATAATATTAATATCTGACAGGTGGCCGTTAATTATTAAGGTTTTGGTCGGCTCATGGCTATTTTATTCAGTGTTATGATACGCAAATTTTACTTCGAGTAGGTAAAAAAAAGCATGACAGGAAAATACATGGTTCTCAATGGAGTCAAACATTGTAAGTGCTTCTGTTTGGTGGTTGCCGATGCAAATCTCAGGTCATTATCCATCTGTTAATACCTTTTGATCAACTGCTCTGACGATTTGGCAAAAGGACGAGCTTCTACTTTACGGTGTATAGGCAGAATTTTGGATACTCAAGCTGTAGAGTTTGGCCATTCTTAGATAGCTAGATAATAGTAATTCCATCGTATGACAATGATATACCGCACTTCCATATAATTTGCTAATTTAGACCTGATTAACTGTTGAATGATCATCTGGAAAAATAATAATTTTTTTTTTTCAAAAAAGTTGAACTATTGTGTGTTATGTCATCTTTCTAAGGCGTTTAAACATCAAAGGCACAAGATGAGACTGGCATTATGGACAAGCCTACCGAAACATGAGTCAAATGAAGACAAGGTAAGAATCAGAAACATAAAAAAAATTCGAAAACGTACAAAAACGAGCCAGGTCATCAAGCATAAAAAGAAAAAATTGCTAATGGGTAAAAAAATTATCTAACCAATTACAGGACTAACAAGCATTCTCCAAGAAAAAGTCTGAAGATCTGAGGATAATGAAAAAGGCTTTTTTTTCAACATTTCTATTACAAGTTAAATCATACAAATGATTGAATGTAACATGCCGGACAAAAGATGGTACACCATTGCTCGGCAGTGGATTCGCCACCAGTATGCATGTCCTCTCCCTGCTCTATCACATTAAGAGCCACAATACACCTCCTAGAACTTTGAATCCCACTGTAACTAAGATAGCTGACGAATAAACCAGAAGAACAGGAAACTCAAGAGCCGTTTAGAGAATCATGAATCTAATCCACCCTCGTCTCCAGGCAAGGCAAATATGCGAAGATTGCGATCCATTGATCCCACTGCCATATATTTTGCATCTGGGCCAAATTTGATAGAAGTACATTTACCTGCAATTCCAGTAGAACAATGACATCGGACAAGAACCAAAAGTGGAGGGCAAAAGCAGTAAAGAAACAAAAAAAGGAGGGAGAACCTGTCCCCGACAAATCAGGCCAAGTTTTGATACAGCTCCATTCTGCTTTGACGCTTGCAACCTGGTAAACTCTGCATAAGCACAAAAATTAAATCAACATCTAATTGCTATGCAAGAAAAATAACCAGGATCCGCACTCCTAACCAGACACCTACCTTATATCTGAACCTGCAATTGCAAGGTATGATCCACTATGGTCGAATTCCACTGCAAGAAAAGTTCCTATTATACACAGCTTTTTTACTTGTATTTATCAAAAGAGAGCAAGTAGTAGGAGGGTAGAAGTAATTTGCTTTCTTTCCATCAGAAACAAGAGGTCGTGCCATAGAGAACAGTTGCTTAACTAAAGAGCACCAGGTACAAGACTGGCCTACCAACATCTGAAATTCTCAGGTTCGATCAACGGAAGAAACATAGGAAAGAAAAAGAAGTCCAAAAGATGTACCTCTACCTAACTGGTTCATCTAGTGGTAACTAATCATACAGTAGAAAATCATCCACAACAATAGTAAAAGTATCATTTGTCTGATTCAAAAAGATATAGCCAACTAATCAAACTTGCCACAAGTGGCCCAGTCAAGCATCAAGATAAATTCGTATACTTGTACAAAATTAAAAAATTGCATACCTGAGTTTGTAGGTGCATCAGAATATGGTTCAAATGACCGGAAATTCTTCAGTTTGCGAAGATCCCACAGTTTGACACCATCATGAGCTGCAGTCTGTCCCATTCAAATATAAATCATATCATATTGAAACCTTGCATGCACTTTACATATTCCACAAGATACTTACCGCAAGAAAGTAACCATTTTCTGAGAAAGATATGGCAGTTACAGGTCCTGCATGTCCATCAAATTTAGCTACATTTGCCTGTAACCAACATAAAATTACAAGATGGAAAAAAAAGGGAAATCTCAAGAACATCCAAATTGATAGAAACAAATAACTACGGCCTTGTCCCACACTTATTAAGATTAGACCATCCACAAGAATTATCAAACAAAACAAGAGTTGGAAGTAACAAATCACACCTGACTTTTTACATCCCAGATTTTAACACGAGCTTGTGAAGTGCCTGTTCCAAGAATGAGGCCATCGGGATGAAATGCAGCAGATGTATAACCCTCATTTTCAGAAGCATCCGAAACCTGAACAAAGGAAAAAAAAAAAAAAGGAAAAAAACATCTTCAATGTGATGGAAAGACAACAATATATGAGCTCTGTTTGAGAAAGGCAAAAAATATGGAAAATAGACGAGGTTAATACTTTAACTTCATTTTAGGAAGCTTAGGAATGGAACGGAATGGAATGGGGCACGAGGGGGTAATTTTTCACCCTCACTCCCCTTCAAGAGCGAAAATATTTTTTTCATTGTTTATGTAAGTGACGAAAACAACAACCCTTTCTCTAGCATATATATAGCAGAACAGGAAAATTAGATTCAATTACTTTGTGTAACATGTACTATCCCAAAAAAAGAAAATGATAAAGTTTCAGAACCTGAGAGGAAGAGAAGAAAGGTTGGAACCTGTGTCAAGCAAAGACCGGAAGAAAGATCATACAAGCACCATGTGTTGTCCAAAGAAGCCGTCACAAAATAATTATTTGTGGCATGCACAGTTACAGCTTGTCCTGATGAATTAAGAGGTGTCATCCTTTGTAACACCGAAATGGCACATAAACAAACAATGTAGCTTTAAGAACATACATGCAGCAAAATTCATGGGAAATGCACTGCATGATAAAAGAAGGAAAAAAAAATAAAAACAAACAAAATACCATTAAAGATACTGCAAATTTACGAAGTTGTCTTAAGTACAGGTAGTTATTATTTTTTATTTAATTCTCGAAATTCCAGACCATCATAAGGCTGGAAATCAAGGTTAACTAAATTGTTGTCGTGTTTGTGACATTCCTGGTTCTCTTTTCCTTATCCACAATATCCAATTAACTTGCTAAATCTAATTGTAAAAATCATACCACCAAAGTTGGAGGTCAAGGTAACAGGATTACTGCTGTTTTTTTCATGTATGTTTCTTCTAAACCAACATCAGGGAAGAGACAACCCCGGCTCATTCACCAGCATTCCCTGCTAGTCGATATTGGCAGGGACTTCTTTTTCCTTAACACAAAAGATCCAGAGAAGGGAGGGAAAGCATAGAAGCAAATGTTCTCTGGGTGGCAAAGGATTCCCTATAACCACTTTAGACCATGAAACTATACAGTGGTATAGACTCCTTTTTAAAGATAAAAAATAATGTACTCAGCGGAGGAGAGACTTAGAAGCAAATGTTTCCTGGATGGCAAAAGATTTCCCACAGCCAATATTCAGGAAACCAATATATATCAGTGACATATACACCATAATGGAACTCCCAATATTTTTTTTTTGTTGAAGGAAAAAAAGATACTTAAAAAGGAAAGTGGCTGCCTCGCATATACAAAGAGATAAGGAATGTAGCTTTCATAATATCTGGAGTTGATATGTCTAAATTTTTCATTATTTTACATAAGGAAAATATATACTTCGAACATATTTACAAAATATCATGTAATAAACTAGAGAACCATGCACAAGAATTATCCACCACAGAGAACTTGCTCCTCCAGTAAAAACTAGAATTCCAATCAAAGTAGCATTATCAAGGTTGGTTTGAATGCATATTTACCTCTGCAGTATGATCCTTCAAGATGTGCCTACAATCAAAGTTTCCATCTTCAGATCCTTGCCAAACACGGACAGTCTGCACCATTGAAAGTTGGTAATCAAATATCTATATTCAATCTTTGGATTCTTTGGAGAGTTTTCAGTATCAAATTACAGGATGAAATTAAGAATACTAGTAGAAGTATTAAGGAAATAGCTCCATATATTACACCTAAAAATATTCAAAAGTGCAATCTTTAGCGCATATTTTTTAACCTAACAAGTCTAGAATGCATCTAAACAAGATGCATCAAACAGTGTTCTTGCACTAAGTCTGAAAGCTGCCAATTTTTTTTTTTTAATTTACAAGGTGCAATTAGAAGAAAAAGGAGGGGGGGTGTGGGGTACACAACTTCACTTTCCAAACCTCTTATAAAAAAAAAGAAATTTCCTATACAAAGTAACCAAGGATGTTCTAGTTGCAGTCATTGTACAATTCCACCTAAAAAATGTTAAGTTAATTTTGTTTCTTAAAGACTCCAATGGGAAAATATGTGTATATATATATATATACATAATGAAAGTACCTTACAACTCTAAAAGTTTTAAGTTCCAAATAAAAACTGATTTGGCTACCCACACTTCAATAAAAAATGATAACACCCGAAGTTTAGTTGAGTAGCAACCAGCGATGCATTTAGGTTGGTGAAACAATTAGTTAAACCAACAAAACAAATCAGACTGAAACACATCATTGCTAAATAAATAAGACAAACACAATAAAGCAACTTTTTGTTGGAGATATATGCCCACGCATGCATATCCAAAAATAAGTTTCTAAGAAATAACAGAACATACTCAAGATGTCTATAAAAAACCATCATGAAATTTCCGGCCAATAAACCTGAAGTAAATTTACCTTGTCTGCTGAGCCAGTCAATATTAGATCAGTCTGAGTGACAAACTTTACACTTGTGACCTGAAAAGGGACAGCACACAGTTAATCCAGATATTTAACGAAAAGAAGACATATTAAAAACAAAATAAAGAAACAGGAAGAATACCTTCTTTGAATGACCAGTGAGTGTAGATAAGACCTGTCCTGATGGTCGGTCAAAGATCACAGCAGTTGTGTCAACCCCTCCAGTGGCGATGATGTCCTGACAACCCCAAAAAGAAAAACAGATTAGATATCTTGGTGAATGCAGCAGGCATAATCGTAGATTAGCATCATATTCATAATTATCAATATTCAAATAGAGGAAAGATATGACATAAAAAAATAGAGGAAAAAATTGATATTGCTGCTCATAGTAACCATTTTATGGAAAACAGTGTAAATAACTCCTTATACTCTAGTTTCTGTTGCAGCCATATGCAACAAAATCATGTTCTTCTAAGCATCTAAGCTTAAAAATCCCCAGCAGGACATCAATATTTAAAATAAATAAATAAATAAATAAATTCAGATAACCGCATTTTGACAGATCTCAGCAATTTCAAAGACATTAAGAGAGAGCAACAAACATGGACTTGTGAGCGCAGGAAAAAATTGCCAAGAAACACCTACCTTGGAATAAAGGATGTCAAGAGAGATAATGCCAGGTTTATTAGTTTTGTGAAGTGGGTGACTAGAAATCTGAGTGTATCTCTCCAAAGCATCAACTGGAGCCAAAGTTTGAGGGATCTGAAGACAATCCATGTTGAGAGAGAACCAATAAAAAAATTGCAAGTATCTAAATATAGCACAAGAATATAGAACCAGGTCAACAAGAACCTGGAGTTAAGATAAAGAGAGGAACTGCAGTTATTTCTTTCCTTTTCAGTTACCGAGAGATTATCTAATTTAATTATATGAAAATGAATTAAGATATACAAGGTAGACTAAAAATACCTGTCGCCTCTTACGCTGCTGAGAAAGAGCAGCGTTACAATCTGTTAGCTCAGAAATAATATTAGCTGAGATTCCAGGACGTAATTTTTTCCCACCAGAGCCGAGTTCCTCATCCTCAGCAGCTATATGATAATGAGAGAACTCAAATGAGAAACTACATAAGTCAATACAATTTATGCTAACCAAAATCAAGAAAAACAAGAAAACAGCAACCTCTTTTCCCATTGCTAAGACTAGAAGCATTAGCTGTAACTGCGGTTGATACTGGAAAAGAAATCTGCCTTTCAGCCTGTGCAAGTAATGCCCTTGATTCATCTCTTTCCTTTTTAAGTCTTGCAATCACACGGCAAGCAGCATCGTGCTGCAGAAGAAAGGAAACACAATATATTTGGTTAGATCAGAAAGTAATAGTAGCAATTGATTTATAAATGAAGAAAAAATGTTCTCAAAAAATGAAAATGCTTTATAATTTATTTTAACAGAACATGAAGAACTTGAGAATAAGAAAAACTTCTCTTTTCTTCTCACTCTCCTTTTATTCATTGATAATCAGCAACATTTTATAGGCAAAAAAGGAAGAAAAAGACAAAAACTAACAAACTTCTCTAGTGGAAGGGAAAAAACAGCACAACCTGGCAGTAACCATTTTGTTATATTGCCAGGTTGTAAAAGACAGAAAAAAGAAAAATACAGAAAAATAATTCTATACTCCCCCTCAATCTAGGTTACATAAATGTTTAGTAAGCATACATTGGATATTAATTCGTTGATGAATTCTTTGGAAAGTGCCTTTATTAAAATATCTACAGTTTGCTGATTAATAGGAACGTGGAGTATTGTAATGGTCTGATCTTCAATCTTCTCCCTAATGAAGTGTCTATCTATTTCCACGTGTTTAGTTCGATCATGATATACCGAATTTTTACTATGCTGATTGTTGCTTTATTGTCGCACCATACTTTCATTGGAGTAGTAACCAAGAATTTCATTCCATTAGAACTCTTTTAACCAAATTTCCTCACATATTCCATCAGCAAGTGACCGAAATTCAGCTTATGTGCTACTTCGTGACACAACAGATTGTTTCTTACTCCGCCAAATGACTAAGTTTCCCCAAACATAAGCACAGTACCCAAATGTAGATATTTTGTCAATTATAGAACCCGTCCAATCAGCATCTGTATAGATTTCAATATTCCTGTTCATTATTTTTTGGAAAAATAGTCCTTATCCTTGAGTTTTCTTAAGGTATCTTAAGATTCGATATACCATATTCATATGAATATCAGTAGATTGGTTCATGAATTGACTTGCAGTACTTATAGCAAAACTGATGTCAGGTCTAGTATAAGCAAGATATATTAGTTTGCCCACAAGTCTCTGATATCTTTCTTTATCAACTGACTTGCCCTTTTTAAATCCAACTTTTATAGTTATTTCTATGGGAGTTTCTGCTGGTTTACACCTGAGCATCCTTGTTTCTTTTAACATGTCAAGAACATATTTCCTTTGTGACACAGATATCCCCTTTTTAGAACGAGCAAATTCCATTCCCAGAAAATACCTGAGTGCTCCAAGATCTTTTATCTCAAACTTCGTGGCAAGAAAATTTTTGAGTTTTTGAATTTCCTCTATATTATCATCTGTTAAAATAATATCATCAACATAGACAATTAGGATAGCTTTTTTACCGGAGGCACTGTTCTTGACAAACAAAATACGATCAGACTGACATTGCTCATATCCCATATGTTTAACTGCTTTACTAAATCTGTCAAACCAAGCTCTCGGAGATTGTTTTAGACCATAGAGTGCCTTTTTAAGTTTGCATACCTTGTGAGTTTTATATGTGGTCTCAAGGCCTGGAGGAACTTCCATATATACCTCTTCTTCTAAACCTCCATTGAGAAATGTATTCTTTACATCAAGTTGACAAAGAGGCCAATCAAGATTAGAGGTAAGAGAGAGTAATATCCGGATAGTGTTGTGCTTAGCCACTGGGGCCAATGTCTCCTGATAATCTATCCCGTAGGATAGAGTGAAACCTTTAGCTACTAGACGAGCTTTGCACCGATTCACACTTCTATCAGGATTTGTTTTACAGTAAATACTCATTTGCACCCAACTTTATGTTTTCCCGGTGGAAGTTCTGTCAGTTCCCAAGTCTTGTTCTTTTCAAGAGCCCTAATCTCTTCCTGAATAGCACCTCTCCACATTGGCAATGCAAGGGCTTCATGAATGATTTTAGGTTCAGTGGGGCTGCCATCAAGTTTGCTTATATATGCATGATACTTTGAGGACAAGTTGCTGAATGAAATATAATCTTATATAGAGTGTTTGGTACAAGATCGAGTTCCTTTCCGCAAAATAATAGGTAACTCAGTATCATGATCAGTAGTGGTAACCGTATCAAAAATTGTGCCTGAAAACTCATTATCTAATGTGTTCTTACTGCTTGGAACTGTAATAGACTCATAGCAATGTGTAGTTGGTTCCGAATCTTTATTAACTGGAGTTTTGAGTTTCCTAACATAGACACGTAACTCTTTGTTGATAGTAATAGGTATAAGTTCAGTTTCAGACTTTTTGATACTGGTTTCAGAAAAATTTGATGAGGACTCGGGAATAGTGAGGGGAGAAAATGTGAGAGATGGTGTACTTATATGTCATACTTGATATTCCTGATTAGGACTCTCCCCCTGAATATCAGTAGTAGGATAGAAGGACTGGTTTTAAAAAAAAGTGACATCCATAGTGTTGTAGAAATGGCAGATCTTGGACAAAAACATTTGTATCATTT